GCCGGAACTAGGAGCAAATGGGAACTAGGAGCAAATGGGACTATACGAATGCTTCAGGGCAGGAGTCCCCTCCTGACTCCTTCAGAAGCATCCATGCCCTCCAAGATCTGATAAGCAAGGAGCCAAGGACAGGGAGGGCTATAGGCTACGACCACTGAAGCACTCAAAGTCCAGGAGGTCACTGACCCAGTCCCTGTGGCTGAATCACAATGACCTGAAAGACTTCAACCAGATGGTTTCACAGCAGCTAGCAGACCCAGAGAGCCTGGGCTGGACTGACTGTCCTTCAATGACCTGACTTCCACTGACCCTTACCCAGCGCTTGGGGGAGGTGAACGAGCTGGATGTCCTCCCTCGGCTCTGGAGCCTACCACTCCATGGAAACACCGCAGAGAAGGGGCCTAGACAGTATGTGCTGTGTACCCTGCCCGGTATCTCTACGTTCCACTTGAGTGAGGTCACCAAAGCAGACCGCACTACAGGTGAGGTCTGGAAATGCATGAATGTCAAGTTCAAGAAGACCAGGATCAAGCAGAATGCATTGTAAGATTCCCAGGACTCCAGCAGCCCTAAAGGCCTGAGGATGGTCAGCTTGGTTTGACAATAAATGATTTCAGCTGTTGTGCTGGAGGTGGGGGTGGGGGGATACATTGTACTTACTATTGAAACTAAGTAACATTTTTATTATTTCAGAAGTATATGTTTACTATAGATTATAAGGTGAGCAAATTTTTAGAGAAACCCACTGTTAATGCCATAGTATATAGTCTTACTGTACTTTTCCTACAGTCTTACTTAGTAATACATCAAGAATATTTTGCCATATCCCTATTCTTCTAAATTACTTTTATTTATTTTTTTGAGACAAAGCTTTACTTTGTTGCCCTCGGTAGAGTGCCATGGCCTCACAGCTACCTCAAACTCTTGGGTTTAAGTGATTCTCTTGCCTCAGCCTCCCAAGTAGCTGGGACTACAGGTGCCCAACACACTATTTTTAGAGACCAGGTCTCGGTCTGGCTCAGGCTGGTCTCAAACCTGTGAGCTCAGGCAATCCACCTGCCTCGGCCTCCCAGGGTGCTAGGATTATAGGCGTGAGCCATTGCGCCTGGCCTTAACTTACTTTTCAAAGAAATGGTTGCATATATAGGTTTCACCAGCCCTCAAAAAATGTACCATAACATATTTCCATTCCAAATCTTTGTAGCTATAAATTTATTATTATGATGAATTTCTGCACACATTTTTAAATGTACTGATTATTCCTTTAAAGTAAATCCCTCTAAGAGAAATTGTTAGGTCCACTGCCCACTGCAGGCTTAAAGCCAGTTGTGGCCTTCCAGTTCCTTAAGTGTGGTCTTTTGACTAAATCCAAATTTTATAAAACAAATGCTTTTATTAAAAGGGTACAGCAGAGAAAGATGAAGTTTGTCTTGCCTCCTTTGGTGTTTAAAAAAAAAAAATTTTGAAATCAGAAGACTTCCCATCCCATAAACCAGGCGTCCTCAAACTGCGGCCCACTGAGGACATTTATCTGGCACCAGGTGTTTTTGTCGCCGCTACCTGTCCTGTTTAGCAGCCAACTGTCCTGGGGCTTGCAGTCCGGCCCTCCAACCATCTGAGGGACAGTGAACCGGGCCCCTGTTTAAAAAGTTTGAGGACCCCTGCCATAAACCTTTTATGTTCCCAATCAAAAGTAAGAGGGTTCCTGTTTTCCTGTACCCTCAATACGGGGTATATCATCAATACTAAAAACTCGGCCACTACGAGATAGGCAGTGAAGACCAATATCCTTTCAAGTTACGTGTCTATACTTTTTAATGAGTATGAAACATTTTTGCACATTTTTGGCCACTTGAACTTCTCTATGAACTCCTTATTCACTTCTTTTATGTTTCCACAGGAACAGACACTGGTTTATAAAAACTCTTTATAAAAAATAAAAGATACTGCTAACTCTATAACTACACTATCCAACAGAGTGGTCCCTATTTCTTAAGCACCTGAAGAGATCTGCTGTTAGTTTAAATTTTAACTAGATTTCAAAGACTTACTACAAAAAAAAAGAATGTAAGAGATCTCGATAATTTTGATATTACATGCTGAAGTATTCTGAATATACTTGGTAAAATTTATTAATTTTATTTTATTTTTTTTACTTTTTGTTAAGATGCCCACTAAACAGCACAAAATTAGATGCCTACCCCTCATATTTCTTCTGGATAGTGCAGCTCTAGAATACCTCCTTTTTTTTTTTTCTTTTGAGACAGAGCCTCAAGCTTCCAAGTAGGTGAGACCACAGGCGCCCACCACAATGCCCAGCTGTTTTTTGGTTGTAGTGGTCACTGTTGTTTGGCAAGCCCAGGCTGGATTTGAACCTGCCAGCTCTGGTATATGTGGCTGGTGCCTTGGCCACTTGAGCTACAGGCGCCAAGCCTGAATACCTCCCTTTTTTTGTCTTTAAAAGTGTTTCTCATTTTTAAGTATTCAAGCAACTCCTCCAGGTTGCCTCCTCTCCTTATTCTTTATGAGCTTTTCCTAGCCACAGAGGTATTTTAGAAGCATAAACTGTATCCCTTGACAAAGAAAAACATCAAAACTGATGATTTTCTTTCCCTCAATGTTCTTCAAATAGTCTTTTCTTTTCTCATGCATCCAACTTAATAACTTTTTCTAAATGATTTTAAATTTTACATTATGGGCTCGGTGCCTGTGGCTCAAGCGGCTAAGGCGCCAGCCACATACACCTAAGGTGGCGGGTTCGAATCCAGCCCGGGCCC